AAAAATAAAAAAAAAGAACTAAGATCCAACAATATGTTGTATACAAGAAACACATCTAATTCAAAAGAAATTCAAAGACTGAAAGTCAAATGATGAAAACAACATTCCATGCGACAGGAACCCAGAAAAAAGCAAAGGTAGCTATTCTATTTGCAGACAAAGTGGATTTCAAGCCAAGACTGATCAAGAGCCACAAAAAAGTCACTACATCCTGATAAAGGGAACAATCCAAGAGGAAGAGATAACAATCATAAATATATATGCACCAAATACTAGCATACCTAACTACATAAAACAAATATTAATGGACATGAGAAATGATATAAGCACTAATACGGTTGTAATAGGGGACCTCAATACCCCACTGTCACAAATAGATTAACTGGACAAAAAAATCAACAATGAAATATTAGAATTGAACCAAATTTTTGAACAAATGGACTTACTAGATGTCTACAGTGTTCCACCCCACAACGTCAGAATACACATTCTTCTCAACTGCACATGGGACTTTCTCCAAAAGAGACCATATACTAGCTCCTACAACATGCTTAAGTAAATGCAAAGGGATTGAAATTATCCCATGCATGCTATCAGACCATAGTGCAATGAAATTGGAAATCAATGGCAAAAGAAACCAGAAGAATTTCATAAACATATGGAAATTAAATAACACCCTCCTGAACAACCAATGGGTCACAGATGAAATTAAAGAAGAAATCACACAATTTTTACAATTAAACAATAATGACAATACAACATACTGGAACTTATGGAATGCAATGAAAGCAGTTCTAGGAGGGAAATTTATAGCAGTGAATTCCCATACCAGGAAAACAGGGCAAGCTCAAATAATCAACCTAAGGCTGAACCTTAAGCTTTAAGGAAAAAAAAAAAAAAAAAAAGAGCACGTAAAGCCCAAAGCTCATATGAGGGAGGAAATCCACTTTTTTTTTAGCTACCCCTGCTTTTTTTCTTGTCATATAGAATATTGACAAAGTCCAACACCCATTCATGATTTTTAAAAAACCCTAGAGAAAACTGGAATAGATGATCTTTATCTCAATCTACTAAAAGCCAGGGCCAGGGGTTTAGATCAGGGGTGCCATGCCTGTCTGGCAAGCCCAACATCCTGAGTTCAATCTCTGGTATCAAAAAAAAAAAGTTTCTAAAAATCTGATAAAAGCCATCAATGAAAAATCAACAGCCAACATCATACTAAATTGACAAAAACCAAAATCTTTCACTCTAAAATCAGAAACAAGACAAGGATGTCCACTGTCACCACTCTTGTACAATATAGTTCTCCAGGGCCGGACATGTAGCTCAGCAGCACAGCACCTGACTGGCAAGCGTGAGGTTGTGAGTTCGATCCCTGGCACCAAAACAAAAACAATATAGTTCTCAAAACATTAGCCAGAAAAATTAGACAAGAGAAAGAAATAAAAGGAATAAGGATAGGAAAGGAAGTTAAATTATCATTATATGTGGATGACATGATACTCTACATAGAAAACACAAAAAACTCCACCAAAAGACTTTTAGATTTAATAACCAAATTCGGTACTGTAGCTGGATACAAAGTCAACACTTAAAACTCAATAGCATTCCTGTATACAAATAACAAACTCAATGAGAGAGAAATTAGGAAAACAACACCTTTCATAGTAGCATCCAAAAAAAATGAGTACTTAAGAATCAATCTATCAAAGGAAGTAGAAGACCTTTACACAGAAAACTACAGAACTCTGAAATAGGAGATTGAAGAGGTTAACAGAAAATGGAAAGATATTCCTTGTTCTTGGATAGGAAGAACCAATATAATGAAAATGGCCATACTTCCAAAATTGTTGTAAGATTCAATGCAATCTCAATCAAAATATCAATAGGCTATCTCACAGAATTAGAGAAAACAATACTAAAATTCATTCAGAACCAGAAGAGACTTAAAATAGCAAAAGCAATTCTGGGCAACAAAAGCAAGGCAGGGAGTATCACAAGCCCTGACTTGAAATTATACTACAAAGCTACTATGATAAAAACAGCATGGTACTGGCAAAAAAAAAAAAAAGGACTGGAGGAGCGATAGAACAGACCAGAATATGCAGAAACAACTTCAAACATACTCAACCACCTTATCTTTGACAAAGGAGCCAAACATCTTCACTGGAAGAAAAATAGCCTCTTTAATAAATGGTGCTGGAAAAACTGGCTTGCCAAAGATTAAAAGTAGACCAGTATCTTTTGCCATGCACTAAACTAAAATCAAAGTGGATCAAAGATCTAAATATTAAAACAGAAGCACTAAATCTGCTGGACAATAGACTAGGTAGAACTCTTAAAGACACTGGTATAGAAAAAGACTTTATGAACAAAACCCCTATCACACAGGAAATATCACAAAAAATCAACTGGGATCTCGTCTTATTAAAAAGCTTTTGCAGGGCCAGGGATTTAGCTCAGTGGTGCCGCCGCCTGCCTCACAAGTACAAGGTCCCAAGTTCAATCCCCGGTACCAAAAACAACAACAACAACAGCAAACTTTTGCATAGCAAAAGAAACCACCAACACAGTGAAGAGACAACCCATAGTGTAAGAAAAAATTTTTTTCCAGTTGTTCCCCAAACAACTAATATCTAAAATAAATAAAAGGGGCCAGGGATTTAGCTCAGTGGTTCCGCCACCTGCCTTGCAAGCACAAGGACCCAAGTTCGATCCCCAGAACCAAAAAAAAAAAAACAAAAGAAACTAAAATAAATAAAGAACTCAAAAAAAAAATTAGCCCCCCCCCAAAATTTAAAGACTCAATCCAAAAATGGGCATCTGAAATGAACAGACATTTCTCAAATGAAGAAGTAGAAATGGCAAATAAATATGAAAAAATGTTCATAAACATGAAAAAATGTTCAACATCACTAGTCATTCAAGAGATGCAAATTAAAACAATCCTGTGGGCCTGGGATTTAGCTCAGTGGTTTTGTCACCTGCTGCGGAAGTGCAAGGACCCGAGTTCGATCCCTGGTACTAAAAAAAAAAAAAAAAAATCCTGAGATTCCATCTCCCTCCAGAAAGAATGGCTATTATCAAGAAATCAACCAATAACCAATGCTGGCAGAACTGTAAGGAAAAAGGAACCCTTCTCCACTGTTGGTGGGAGTGTACAATGGTGCAACCACTGTGGAAATCAGTATAGAAATTCCTCAAAAAACTAAAACCAGAGGTCCCATTTGACCCAGCTATTCCTCTTTTTGGTATCTCCCCAAAAGAATTAAAAGCATAATACCACAGCGATACATGCACACCCATGTTTATAGCAGCACAGTCTGTAATAGCTAAATCTTGGAAACAGCCCAAATGCCCATCAACAGATGAGTGGATAAAGAAGATGTGGTTTTTTTATACAATAGAGTACTACTCTTCCATAAAGGACGAGCTTCAGACATTTATAGCTAAATGAATGGACTTTGAGACCATACTCATAAGTGAAATAAATCAGATACACACATTATACCACATTGTTTTTCTGGCGTAAGAAACCAAAAGTGGGGCCGGGGATTTAGCTCAGTGGTTCCAGCGCCTGCCTCACAAGCGCAAGGTCCCGAGTTTGATCCCTGGTACCAAAAAAAAGAAACCAAAAGTGGAAATAAGGACTAAAATGTATGTATAATAGATACTGGAAAATGGGAAGAAAGTGTTCAAATGGAAAGGAGAACAAGGGAGAGCGGGAAAGGAAAAGGAAAGACAGGTCAAGAGAAAAAAAATAGAAGAAAAAATGGGAAACAAAGCTTGTGTAAATCAGGAGGAGAAGAAGGTTCAAAAGGAGGGGAGGAGAATGGGAAAAAAAGAAGAAAGATATACGACGTACAAGTAAAAAATTCCCTATGATGAATGTTATCATTATGTATATCTGCAATGTACCAATAAATGTTTTGTTTTAAAAAGAAAAGAAATACCACACTAGAAGTTAAGTCATAATCTGCTCTTTTCAATACACATTTTTGTGTGTGTTCAAGTGCTGGGGATAGTAAATCCAAGGCCTCCCAATACTAAGCATGTCCTCTACTACTGAGTTATACTCTAGACCTTTTAACAGATATAGACATTTACAGACTCCTTTAACAGATTATGCAATAATACTTCTTTCCCACTCTGGACTCTACTGTTATTAGCCTGGTCGATTCTCCATTTGTGTAATTCCACAGTATTTATTTATTATTCATATATAATTCAGGTATCACTTTAGAGGCAAAAAGGACTAGACACTGTTGAATAACTAGGTACATGCCAACTACCAGTTCAGAAGTCAGAGCCTTTTTTCTTGCTCTTTCACAGTGAAAGGGAAGGTGCCAAGAAGCAGGTCTTCCACAGATCCTGGCAGTACCACCTGCTCGTGCGAAGAACAGAGAAAGAAGGCCAATGCCCAGGGTGTCTCCAGGTGGGCACACCCTCCACTAATTTATGTCCATCTCTCTCCTGTCTGGACTCCTACAAAGATCCTTTCTTGGCTTTCTAATCAGTGCCTAGTCTGACCCCCATCGTGATTGAACCACCCACAAGTCATCAGTGGGATCAGTATGAGTGGTGATTCTGACAGTCACAAGCCCTTGAGGAGTCTGCTCTGTCACCAGCAGCTGTGCTATAGCTCTGTGGAACATCTATGCACAGATAGCACCAGAACACACTCATGCACACACACACACATATACACATATGTGTGTATATATATGTGTATGTATATATGTATATATATGCACACACATGGCAGGCTGTTATTTTTAGCCTTACCTCACCTTTTAAAAATGTTTATTATAAATTTCAAGCCATATACAAAAAGAAAGAACAGAACAATGAACCCTTATGTACCCACCACCTGACTTCAACAATTATCAGCTCATGGCCAATGTTGTTTCATCCATATCCCAACTCCCCAGGTTATTTTGAAGCATTGAGTTTTAACTCTTCAATTCTTTTAAGCTGATTTAGAAGGAAAAAATACTCACTTGCAGTCAAAGATGTGTAAATCTGCTGAGGCCCAAACTTCAAAACGAACTGCTCCACAGTGGCAGCCTCCCATGTGCTTCACCAGGCCCTGGTATTCACTAAATGAAACAAAATCAGAACAATAAGAACTTCTGAATAGTCAGGCAGGGGGCTAAGGCATGGCTCCTGAATTCACTTTGCTATTGAAAGAAAGGGAAGATAGGACAAAAGTCTTTTCTATAGGGCATCCAAATGCATTTCTGTTTTTAAGGAGGCACAGCCAATTTTATAAAAGAATGGATTCATAAATAAATAAGTGGATTCAGTGCTGTCTTTGTCTATGAGCTCTCTTTGGGCTCATTTCTTAAATTTTTAAATAAAACATTCCCAGAATTTGAGAAATGTAAGGAAGAGGAGGTTCCTAATTCTATCACAAAAACATTTTACTTACATGCCAAATGTTTAATAAATATCTTTGTAAGCTAAGCACCAAGGAGAGAGCAGTACACAAGATACAGAAGACATGGCTGCTGACCTTACAGACCTTAAGTAGCCATCAAATTAACTGCTCACATAATTTTTAATTATGATTGTGATAAAGGTGATAGAGATTTATGAAAAAGTATCAAGGTGGCTCCGAAAAGCCTTCTGAGACAGTTGCAAAGGCTCTTATAATTTTGCTTTCTCCTCCAGTACATTTTTTGTACATAACTGTATATACATATTACATATAATTTTGAGCCTTTTAAAATGTATGGAAGCCAGGCCCATAGCCGAACATTAAAATTTGATTAATATTGTCAAATTGCTTTCCAGAACGACTGAAAATTCTCACCAAAAATGAATAAGAAAACATTTCACTGTATCCTTTGAGCAATAATCACAAGCAAAATAGATCTTCAAAGCTTTAATTTGCCTATATTTAAGACTAAATGTAGGGCCGGGGATTTAGCTCGGTGGTTCCGCCATCTGCCTTGCAAGTGCAAGGTCCTGAGTTCAATCTCCAGTACCGGGAAAAAAAAAAAAAAAAAGACTGAATGTTATTTCCAGTTTCTTTACAAGTTAATGTACTTGATTTTTATTTACATATACAAATAATGCTTATTGTGAAAAATCCAAACAGTAACATATTTGATAATTTTCAAAGTGATAGCCTCCTGTAATCTTTGCAAGAAGAATCTGCTATTTGCCATATATTCTTCTAAATTTTTCATATACAACTTTTTTTGGTTTTTGTTTGTTTGATACAGGGTCTCGCTATGTACTTCAGGCTGGCCTTGAACTCACTACTAGCCCAGGCAGCCCTCGAACTTGTGATTCTCCAGCCTCAGCCTCCCAAGTGCTAGGACTACAACCGTGCGCCACCACACCTGGCTCTATACAACATTTTAACAAGAAAGTTAGTGTTATACACATTTTTTGCACAGAAGTTAAAATTGTGGCCTTAAGGACACACACCAATCTAATGGATGAAAAACATTGCATCATGGGGGCCGGGGATTTAGCTCAGTGGTTTCATCGCCTGCTGCGCAAGAACAAGGACCCAAGTTCGATCCCCAGTAATCCCCCCCAAAAAAACAACATTGCATCTTCACATCATTTTAATATCTTTTTGAACCATTCTCTTTTATGACAAAAATTTACCTCAAATTTGAGTTTTACATTTCTAAGTAGCTTTATATCCCTTATACTGTACCTAGCAGTAGCTGGCACACCTCAGGTACTCAAAAAGTGTCAATGGATTTTTTTTTTTGGTACCGGGGATAGAACTCAGGACCTTGCGCTTGCAAGGCAGGCAGCAGCACCACTGAGCTACATCCCGGGCCCAAAAGCAATGTGAGTAAATGTTTTTTTTCCAGTACCGGGAATCAAACTCAGGGCCTTTCGATTGCCAGGCAGGCATGGTGCCACTGAGCTACAATCCCAGCCTGGATGAGTATTTTTGTTTTGGTTTGTTTTTTTTGTTTTTTGGGGGGTTTTTTTGGTACCGGGGATTGAACTCGGGTCCTGGGGCTTGTGCAGCAGGCGGCGAAAGCACTGAGCTAAATCCCTGGCCCTGGATGAGTATTTTTAATGTTCAATTTATATTCGGAGATGAAGTGCAGCACACAGAAAACCAAATAAATACTCCACCTCTGAGAAGAAACATCAAAACTAAGAGAATGTCTTCTGGAACAAGGACAAAGGATCGATTTTTTTGTTCAACGAAAGGGGTAATTCTCAAGCTGTTATGCAACTGTTAGGTTATTCTTGTCTTAATTTTTTTTTCTCCCTCGTGTTTTGATTCTTCTCAATTCATAAAACACTTAAATTAAAAAAAATTTTAAAACACTGAAATATATTAGTAGGGTATTAAAATATTTCTCCGTAGTTCTTTGGGGCAGAAATCCACATCACGTTTGGAGAACAGAAGGCAGCTCTTGCCAGAGTATTTAATAGCTCTTTTCAAAACCATGGACCTGTGGGATGCTCAGCCTTCTAAGAGGCTAGAGGTTTATTCCCTCCAAAAGCAGAGATGAAGGAGTGGAAAAGGGAGCGAGCCACTCGGGAATCCAGTAGTGGAGAACACAAAGCCTCGCCCTCGCATCCCGGCCCAGGCATCCCAGGCTCGCTTTGCGCGCGCTTCTCCCCCAGATCAATAGCTCCCGCCCCTCCTCCCAGGCTCCTGGAACAATAACGGGACTTCGCTCCTCTCCACTCCTCTAACCTTTCCCGCTCCAAAAAGCACATGTGCAACGCAAAAAAAACAAAAACAAAAAAGGCTTTGGGCACGAGAGAAATCGTGATAGCCGCGTCCTTTTCACGAGTGAAGGACCCTCCCCCCTGCGCCCTCACTCGAGCCCCGCACAAGGTCCCCAAGGTCCCCGGGCCGCGCTCAGAACTGGGACCAAACTGGGCGCCTAGCGAGAGCCGCGTCTGCGCGGTTACATGGCAGGCGCGGAGCAGAGGAGCCCGCAGCCTGCACGCGGGGAAGGCGAGCCCGGCCCGGTCCGGCCAGGCCTGGCCGAACTCACAAGGTGTCCAGCAGGAGCTTGGCGGCGCCCTCGAAGCTGAGCCTCTGCCGCTTCTGGAACGTCTCCCAGCGCTCCCGCTGCTCGCCCAGGTCCAGCATGGACACCGAGGACGTTGGGGTCGCCGGAGTCGGTGGCGGCGGCGGTGGCAGCAGCGCCAACTCCGCCGCCGGCGGCTCCTCGGGACCCGCCTCCTGGGCCCGCGGGGGCGACAGCTTCGGCCGCCTCTTCGCCGAAGGCTGCCTGCTTGCCGCCTGGCTCCTACTCCCGGTCTTGCTCGCGGAGCGTCGGGCGCGGGTGTCGCAGGGAGTCGAGGCAGCAGCCACCGGAGCGCCAGAGGCACTCGACCGCTTCTGCCCGCGCGGCTTGCTGGCCGCAGCACTCCGAGCCCGACGCATGGCTCCCGCAACCTGGCGCGCAGGCCTGGCAGTGCCGCGCGCCTCCGCTCGGCCAGCGCGCGCCCCCGAAAGTCCCCCCTGCGCGCGCCCGCCGCTCGCCACCTGCAGGCCCGAGCGTTGAGGCGCAGGGATGCCTAGGCCCTGTCTGCCCTCAGGAGAGACCCCGCCAGGTCCCGCACCTGCCCCGCTGCGTCTTGTAGATCTACTGCGACCTGTCCCTCCGGTCTCCGCTCCCAGGCACCCCGAACCCATTTGAACTGGGAAGTTTCCAAACCCCGGTACCCAGAGACCTTCTAAATTGTACCTTCCTTACCTGGGGAGCCTGTGTCAGGGCCGAATTCACACCCACATCCGAGCCGGCAACCCCGGGCAACTTCATCTCCAAGATGACGAAACTATGTGCTTTGCAGGGGCCAGGGTGCACCTGACAAGAGCTAACGGATATAAACGGCCTGGCAGCTGATACTTGCTGAATAAATACCAGCGGAAACCATAGTTCTTAAACTTTTTTTTTTCCTGTTACATTAGAAAACAATGTCTGGAGGATACTGATGGTCAAAAGATGTGTTTACTCTTTTTTTTTTTTTTGGTACCGGGGATCGACCTCGGGTCCTTGTGCTTGCGAGGCCAGCGGCGGAACCACTGAGCTAAATCCCCAGCCCCAATGTGTTTACTCTTAATAAATGGATGAACCTTGCATCTACTTCTGTTAGCATGGTTTCACAAAAGTATTTTTAAAAATCATGAGAACTACTAATGGAACCCATATAGTCTCTAAACCTATTTGTTGCTCTATTTTATTCACATTTTCAAAGAAATAGCACTTTCCTTTACTCTTGTATCTTTTTTTCCACGTCCTTTATTTCATCTTCTTTATTCCCTGTTGTGTTCATCTTTGATAGCTTATTGAATTAACTATATAGTACATTTATTTTTAGTCTTTGTAATACTGAAAATATTAATGACTAGATTTTCCTTTGAGGATAGCTCTAACTGTATCCAGTAGGGGTTTTCTTTCTTTGTTTTGTTTTGGTTTTGGTACCAGCGATCGAACTCAGGACCTTGCTCTTTCGAGACAGGCACAGTGGCACTGAGCTAAATCCCCATCCTTGTATCTATTAGGATTTTACACAAAATGTTCTGTCTTCTTTAAAAAAAATTTTTTTTTGCCATTTTCTTTACTGGAGTTATAGCTTACATACAACAAAGTGACACGGGGCGGGGGGCACTGACTTTGGTTCACCCCCAACCCTTTTTTAGATAACGTGTTACTAAGTTGTCCAGGCTAGGCTGGAACTTGTGTTCTTCCTGCCTCAACCTCACAGGGTGCTGTGATTACAGGCATACACTACCACACTCAGCACAAAGTGTGTGTGTCTTAAACATACAGCTTATGTTACCATCACCAATTCAGATAGAGCACATTTGCAACACACCACTACACAGAGGTGACCCCTTATTTTGAATTTTATCACTATAAAATAGTTTTGCCTATTTTGAACATCATTTCCAAACAGCGTATACATTATTATGTCTAACATCTTTCACTCCATGTTTTCAAAACTCATCCATGTTTCATATATATGTATTTTACTGATATGTAATCTGATTTATAGATGTCAACATTTATTGTCCTGTTAATAGATATTTGAAGGGTTTTTTTCCAATTTGTACAAATTATCAGTAAAGCTGCTATTTACAATGACATTTGTATACAAGTTTTTTGGGGGGTACCAGGGATCGAACTCGGGTCCTTGAGCTTGCACAGCAGGCAGTGAAACCACTGAGCTAAATCCCCGGCCCTGTATACAAGTTTTTGTGGATTCATTTTTCTTCAGTATGTACATAAGAGTAGAATTTCCAGGTCATAGGTCTGCATTTCTTTGCCTTGCAGTGAAGTTGAGCATCTAGATTTCTTTTATGAGGTGTCTTTTTACAAGAACTCTGGAAGTTAGCCCATTTTATAAATTGGGTTGTTTGATGTTCTTTACACCTGGAAACTAGTTTTTTGACAGATTTATCTATTGAAAATACAATCTTCCAGCCAGGTGTGGTGGCACATGCCTGTAATCCCAGCACTCGGGAGACTGAGGCAGGAGGATTGTTGAGAGTTCGAGGCCAGCCTAGGCTACATAGTGAGTTCAAGGCCACCCTGAACTACACAGCAAGACCCTGTCAAAAAACCAAAAGAAAAAAAAAAAAAAGAAAAAGAAAATATAATTTCCCAGTCGCAGCTTTCTTTTTCACTTCCTTCATACTTTTTTTTTTTTTGGTACCGGGGATCGAGACCTTGCACTTGCAAGACAGGCGCTGGAACCACTGAGCTAAATCCCTGGCCCCTTCATACTGTCTTGATGAGTGGAAATTTTTTACTTTGATGGAGTTCAATTGCTGAATTATTTTATGATTTTTAAATATCACATTGAAAAAATTCTTGCCTACTCCAAAGGTCATAACATTTTTCTTCTGTATTTTTTTCAGATATTTTATAGTTTTAATTCTCATACTTAGACCCACCATCCATCTCAAATCAGTTTTTGTATTTTGGGTAAGGTAGAATCCAGGTTCATTTTTCTCCCATTTAGGTATCCAGTTGCTTCATTTCCATGTATTGAAAAGTTCTTTCTTTCTCCTACTAAATTGCATTGTCACTTTTGTCAAAAATATTGGGATCAAGACTGGGCATGAAGGCATACACCTGTAATCCCAGCACTTGGGAAGCTGAGGCAGGAAGATCACCATGAGTCGAGGCCAGCATGGACTACAATAGTGAGTTCAAGGACAGGCTGCGAGACCTTGTCTCAAAAAAAAAAAAATTATGTGATCAGACAGGCATGTGGCACACACCTATGATCTCAGCACACTGGGAGGCTGAAGCAAGAGGATTACAAATTAAGGTCTACCCTGGTCAACTTTGTGAAGCTCTGTCTCAAAGTGAAAAATAAAATAGAGCTGGGAACACAGCTCAAGGAGAATGCCTTAGGCTGAATCCTCAGTACCATTAAAAATAAAAATCCACGGGCTGGGGATTTAGCTCAGTGGTTTCGCTGCCTGCTGCGCAAGCGCAAGGACCCAGTTCGATCCCCGGTACCAAAAAAAATAAATAAATAAAATAAAATAAATAAATAAAAATCCGGGCTGGGGATTTAGCTCAGTGGTTTCGCCGCCTGCTGCACAAGCGCGAGGACTCGAGTTCAATCTTGGTACCAAAAAAATAAAAAAATAAAAATCCAAGTTATCCATTCCATATGGGTCTGTGTCTCAACTCTCTATTCTGTTCACTATCACTCTGATTTATCTATGGTACTTAGCTTAATTCCTTAGTTCTGAAGTCAGACAAAGCCCTCCAGCTTTGTTGTTCTTCAAGACTGTCTTGGCCCTTCCAAATTTGGGGCATTTCTGTATAAAATCAGTCAATTTCTACCAAAAAAGTCTTCTATGACATGCTATGTTATCAACCATACTTCTACAAAAATCCCACACTTCCTCTAGTAGTCTTAATTTCATTCCTTTAATTTTCAATTTTTCATCTTATTTTAGTGTCTCCCTGACTCGATCAACTGCATTCCTCACGTTGGACTATTCCAAGCACACACCTTAATCACCTTCTTTTAAGGGCCTTCTGTGGAGAACACTTTAAAATAAGATGGAATTGTATAACCCTAAGTGTGCTGTAACCCTAAAGTGTGCTGTGACTTTAAAGTGTGCTGAAACCCAAGCGTGACATAACCATAAGAGTGATGTAACCCCAAGTGGTATGGAACTGATAAGGGCGTACCCCGAACAGGACAGGGCGTACCCCGAACAGGACAGGGCGTACCCCGAACTGGACGGGGCATACCCCGAACTGGACAGGGCGTACCCCGAATTGGGCAGAGTGTGCCCCAAGCTGGACAGTGTGATAAGTCTGAACCAAAACCACAAATGCCCAGTTAGAACAGTATAAAAGGAGCTGAAGACTCCAAGCAAGTCGTCGATCCGTCCACCGACCAGTCGACCAGTCGATCTGCTGATCTGACTACTGACCGAGACATCTGCACACCTGATCCCGCTGGAAGGAGCATCGCCACCGACCAGACGAGACCAGAGGACGAAGCAAGCGGAGAGACGGATAGCCTAGCGCCGACTCGACGCCCTTCGTCTACGGATCAGACCCTCTGACCCCACGGGAGGAAACGTCGTGCTCCCACAAGGACTTGTGCAGTACAGATACAGGGATGTGGTAATTAGCAGACTTAATATTGTGTGATAACTGTATTGACGTGAAGTGTGTTGAAGTGAATCATAATAATAGAGGATAAGTGTGTGAACTGCCATCCGAGTCCGAGTCCTCTTTACCCACGGTACCTGCTCGCGACACCTTCACCCTGGGAATTCTGGGAAGATGCCAGAGTGGTAAGCAGCAGAGAAAGAGCCACTCCGAGATTTGGTGTCCTAACACTAGAATACAGCAGCTTGAGGAGGAAAAGAAGGAGCGAAGTGGGTCCCCGGGAACCAGGAAGGATCTGAGGTGAGAATTGAAGTCTACAGGAAGAGTGAAGAGAGAGACTTTAAGGAAGAGGAGGGAGGTCCTAGCAGTGCTTTCTCCCAGAGCCCAGCGAGGGAATGGGTGGGCCAAACCTGCAGAGGCACAGTGACTGCTGGCAACCCCAGAGCCCTACACGGAAAAAACGCACCAGTGGAACAGAGCAGTGGATGCACCAGACTGCAGCAGCTGGTGAGTTATCCAGGTTCAAACCTCACCCAGAAGAGGGGTAATTGGCTGGTAGCCACCTTGGAGAAGGGCCAACTGAGCTCAGAACTCAGAACAGCTGTGGATGGTCTCCATCTGGTGGCTCCCAGTTCCTAGGTTCGGGTGCTGAGTTCAAGTCAGCAGGAGGTCAGGGACTGGAGTTCAAGCCAGGAGGAGATGCATAGGCTGTTGTAGGCTGAAGGAATCTGGTTCCAGCCTCATAGCCAGAAACCAGCCTGAACCTCAGAGAAACTACAGGGGCAGGCTGCCTGGGATTATCCACTACCCCACCATGAAGCTGAAGCTAGCTTGCTGGGATTAATCAGTTTGGCTCTGGACTCTTTTTGGCCACATTGCCAAACAGTAACAGCAGAGACACACCTTGAATTGGACACGGGGGCGGGGGGCGGGGGGGGGCTCTCTTTTTTTTCTTTTTTCTTTTTTCCTGCTTTCTAATTCTTGTTTTGTTTTGTTCTTGATTGTCTGAACACAGTTTCTAATTTGTTGTTGTTCTGTTCTGTTGTTTTTATTTTTTCCTCTT